CCGCCCACCGGGCACCTCTCCCGCCCAGGACGGGCAGCGACCTGCTCACAGCCGGAACGCAAACGGCATCCCCGAACACCCGAGATGCAAACGCGTTTCCCTTCAGCAGCAGGTGCTAGTGGGAAAAGCCATTTCTTTGCTTCCTCCTGCCCTTAGGTCCCACCTGTGGATTCTCAAACAGCTGCAGATTCCTGTTCTTCTCATCTCCCTAAAACGCACAAAGCACAAGATTGTCAGGTCTGCACTCAGTGGGCTTGGCTTTCATAGCACAATAGTCCTAGGCTTCATTAACATTAATCTCTGAAGACCATCCCAAGTGCAGGACAGCCTGCCAAAAGCCTGAAACAATACTGCAAGGCACCATTTGGGGAACAGCCAGTGTGCTGTGTGCATACAGGTTCGGTAAAAAGCTGCTGGTTACATGTAGAACATTAGTTCTCATGTGCTGCCTCTCACCTGCCTTGAGGTCACCATGTCTCTGCAGTGCCTGCACATTCCTCCCTCTCCAGAAGGAACAGAAGGTGGGGAGTCAAAGGCACTCTTGACAGATTTATCTGAGAATGGGCTGAGGCTCAGTCCTACATCATACTGTGGCCATTTGGGGGGTCAGTTTTGTTCTCCTGAAGCTTCTGCTTACGTCTCAATCTCAGGCAGTAGGTAAATCTGTCTCAAGCTGGGCAGCTTGAAAACAAGGTATGCACATCTGGGAGTCTTCACTTCCAGTCATTAGGTTGGACATTGGGAAGAATTTCTTCACAGAAAGGGTGATGAGACACTGGAATGTGCTGCTCACAGAGGTAGTGGAGTCACTGTCCCTGGAGGTGTTTAAGGAGACACTGGACATGGTACTTAGTGCCATGGTCTAGTTGACCTGGTGGTGTTAGGTCACAGGATGGACTCAGTGATCTCAGAGGTCTTTTCTAGCCTAACTGATTCTGTGACTTTGCATTCCTACCTCCATTCTGTTCTGACTTGCAGCAGTTGATCATGCTCAGCTCAACACAGTCTCTCATATCACAGTGTTTCAGACAAAACCAAAACCCACTTCCAGGTTACAAACTAGGCTTCCTGCCTGGGGTAGCTCTAAAACCAAGCAAGTGTTGGAAGATTGTTTAAGTTGTTACACAGCAGCAGCAGGTGTCTTGTTGACAGCTTTTGCAAAGAGACGTGCTTGGGTAATATTTCTGCTAGAATAGTCTCTCTTCAAAAAATGGCAATTTAATTCAAGGGGAATAGAGTTTACAGCAGGAGTGTGAGCCATGGAAAAAGGAAACATTACAGCCTTGTCACCAATTAGGAAATGCAATGAACAGTGAGTGCATCGTGTCTGTTTCTTTAGGAAGAGATTAGAGCTCAGTGATTGATTCTATGAACCTTTGTTTAAAAAGAAGAACTTCAGTAGAGCACATAAGATTTATTTCTCTGGTTGGACTAAAATGATTTCCTTACTCTCTTCCTCTCTGAATATTGATGCTCTTGGCCAGGGCCTCAGCAGGTTTAAACTGGCATAACTTCACTGAAACTAATGTGCTAGCAAAGCTATAAAGCTTGAGAGGCTGACAAAATAATGCTGTTAGAAAAACCTCACTCACTCCCATTCAAGAGTCAGACTTTCAGAACATAGTTTTTTGAGAGCTGTAAGCAATTTTTGAATTATTCCTAATTTTTAGGAAGTCTTTCACACTTCCCTCCACCCCACTCCCCCAGTGCTCATCTGTTTCTCACTGTTGCATTCTGTTTCAGACATTCACTGGCAATTTTGTCTACTACATTCAGTCTGTGCTCCCAGATGACATCGTAAAAGCAGTGCTGGGGAAAATAGGTTACGTTGCAACCACAGCCACAGAGTTTTCACTTGTCAAAAAGAGAAACAATGAGGAAACAAAGCAGACTGCGTTTGAAATATTCCTGGCAAGGATCGAGTGTGAAACCATCCTCGAAATGACAAATGAAGAGAAACAGGGCAATTTGGAGCAGACCCTGCAGAAGGGAGCACAAGTGCATTTGCGTCAAGGAGCCGAGGACACAGATGAGATGTCCCAGAGAGGAGACACTGAAAATCCAGAAAATGAAGACAGTGAGACATCTTTGTGCCTTACTACCCAGCAGAAATCTTCAACTCCCCACCCTGTATCCTTTGAAGCTGCTGGAAACCTGCAGATCAGAGGTGATGTGGCTCAGTTAGCAGCTGCTCAGTCCACTGACAGCCTTCAGGAGCATCAAAGGCAACTCATTAACACTGCACATTTCCCAGGCAAGTGCTCAGACAGTGAGGAATTCTTGATCAAATATAGTGACATTGTCATAAGACAAACACCTATTTTCAGTGAGAATCTTCCTCCAAAAGCTTTTGAAAAAGAGCCAAGAGCCAGTCTGAGTGCAGAATGTGTTTTGGCAGTCACTGCAGAGCCAACTGCAAATGAGTTGCGGCCTGTGCCGCTCTCCCCAGGAGCCAGTGGCCCTCCAGCCTTTGCAATATTTGCTGACAGCTCTGGTGACAGCAAAACCACTTTGGAGTACAAAACTCCAGAAGTCCCTCAAGAATCAATTGAAGCAGAAATTAACGATGCCATGAACTGCATAGACCCAGAGCCTGCAGATGAACCCAATGAGCTGAAGTCTCTGCCCTACGAGGACTTAGCCTCTGCCCAAGACTGCAGTGTCTCCAGGGAAGAGGAAGTTTGTGACCTGTCTTTAACCTTCACAAAGCTACAAATCAAGGACACCGAGGAAGATCTTATGTATCCAGTGGAGGAAACTGGCCAACCTATGTCCGTGGCATATGCAGGTACAAGTGAGAGGCAGGTAAGAGAATTTAATCCCTCCAAAATAAAACATACATATCTGACTGATGCTGAGCTGCAGCACAGAGCAGCTGCACATATTGAGCCATCCTCAGATTTGTGCTGTACTAGTGAGAACACAGAGGATTCCACTGCTGGTTCTGATAGCAGGAGACTATACATGGATACTGCTAGAGCTTCTGAGTGCTTCCGACACATCCGAGAGCCTCCTCACCTCACCTACATCCCCCCGCAAAGCACTGATGTCCAGGCTTCACACGTGAGAAGGACCAGCACACAGAGCAGAAGGACCCTCTTGCAGCCTGAATGTGACTCTGCTGAATCCAGGGAAGTAATCCTGGAGAACTGTAGTTTCAAAGTAAATGAAAACCAGGAGCCTTATGTCATTATTGACAAAACTGACCAAGGAATGTTATGCCACCACACTTGAGCCTACCAGTACTTTACTAGTGATCTGCCTGAGGTTTTGTCCTCTCACGTGTGGCCTTGATCACCTTTCCAAAGAGATGATTAGCTTTGTCAAAACAGTTTAAAAAAACCTCAGAATCACATCACTGCTTTTGGACAGTAAAAAAGGGAAGTAGTTAAGAAATTCTTAATGGCTTCTTCTCCTCTGGAACCCTTGGCAAGGAAAGCTGAATAGTCACCTTTCTAAAGGGTAAGCAACTTCCCCAAATTTACATCCATTAGCTAGATTCCTTCTGGTTAGTCTTAATGCCAGACAGGATTCTTCAGTGAAGTGTATTTTTTTTCCCTTCACAGTACTCTTCCAGTACAAGGTAGATTCTTGTAAACTGGAAGATCCAGCTGTAGAGCTTCACCCATGCTATGCTGGAGTGCACTTCTGCTAACTCCTTGCATTCCTATGAAGCAGTTTGGTAACATTCCTTTCAGTTTAAGGAAGGAAACAGCCCTGGGAGCACTTTTGGTTGTGTAGAGGCATTAACCTGTATGACAGGTTTTAGACCTGCCTCTGTCACCGAAGTATTTTCTGGCTATCACCACAATTTTGAAGAGAAGCATTGAGCATGATAACTGTTCACTGCCACCAGAAGAGAGGTCCAGCTACTGCTGCCACTTCCCTTGCCCCTGCTCCTGCAACTTAATTCTGCACCAGGAGCTCACTGCAGCTCTGTGTAAGCCAGTTCATCTCACTGAAATGAACAGGAAAATCTTTGCCATTTTAGTGGCAGGAAAAAGTCCAATCAGAGAAGGGCCCCAGGGAGCACTAGAGCCAGGATAAGGGATATCCTGTAGGGGGGATTGGCTGTGTGAAAAGCACTGTGCTGAGAAGGAATGGGAACATGAGTGTTCCCATTCCCATAGTGTAAGCTATCCCAGCACTGAGAGCCTCTCATGCACATGGAATTCATTGGGAAAAGCTCACAGCCACTGGTGCTGTGCTTCAGCAGAGTCTTCAGTGCTTCTTCATGCCCTTGTATCCTAGAAAGACACTTCAATACTAACTTCAAGGAGCTTTTCCAGTAGCACTTCAGTGTGTGCTGGTTTTGGCTGGTGTGGAGTTAATTTTCTTCACAGTGGCTGGTATGGGGCTGTGTTTTGGATGCTAAAAATACTTTGTTGTTTCATGTGTAGCTAAATATTAGCTGAAATTAATTTAGTATAAATTGGTTAAAATTGGCTTTTATCCTGCAAAAAAACCTCAGGAGCTAAGAGGTAATGATTTGCTTTTTGAACAACTAATTGTTTAAGTCCTGTCCTCACCTGATCCCAACAGTGTAGGACGAACAGAACTTGGCCCAAGCTAACACCACATGACAGGACTGTCTGGGTGGCCTGAGGGATCTCAGAGGTCTTTTCCAACCTAATGGATTCTGTGGTTTGGGAGGGGTTGTGACAACAGGTGTTGTGAACAAGCAGTGTTCACAGGGCTGTTACCTGACAGTGACATCCTTTGTGCTGTAAGAGTCTCTGTACAAAACCATTAAGGGACTGTACAAAATATACAACCTAGGCTTCTACAACCCCTGATGAAATTAGAATTAAGAACAAAGTGCAGATGAGTTAACTTTAAATTTCTAGAACCATTTCCAAAGAAATAGTTCTTTTGGACTCTGATAGAGGAAAAAGTTTTAAAAGTTTAACAGAAGATTTCAAGAATAACTACTATTAAATCATTACCTATTACACCCTATTAATAGTTACCTATTAAACTCTACAAATAAGCTACAATAAGACAATTATTTAACACACAATGTTATTTTTAAGCTCGAATTCTGAAGATCTACAACAGTCCAACAGAATGGCATTACTAGGATCACAAGCTGTGGGATACTAATATAATACTTCACTAGAAAATGCTCTCTCAGTGTACTCATCAGCACTAAGTTGTACTGATTTGGAAAAGAACAGCCCACCAGCTGGGAATAACCAGACATGAACTGCACTCCCTGACCTGGTGAGGTCCTTTCAATGCAGTGGCTTTCAGTCAGACCACAAAACTATCCAGAAAAGCAGTGAAGTGATCTCCAGAAGTAATGCCATCAGATATTGTTGGGAAGCCAAGTAGCTGAGTATTTGTAGCCTTCAACAAGTGCCCAACAAATGTCCAGTAAGGGATCAAAGCACTCACTGAAGCCTTGGATGTTGCCCTTTGGTAGGGGCATTCACTACAAGGCTATAACAGATGCTCAACTGTATTAATGCTAACCCAACCAAAATTATTAGGGGAAAATATATATTCTGTACTTCAGGGATCATTCCCCTAAAACTACCCAGAAAAAGTAGTGTGGGAACAGTCCAAACTGCTGCATTGAAAGGATGATCTTGAAGGCAACATCCAGCACAAATGAGAGGCAGCTCCGCACTTCAGCTGACAAGTACAAGAGTGAAACCCCCAACTGGTTTTCTCTCCAAGTACCTGTAAAGTCACAATAAACTGATGATGATACAAACCCAAAGAACCATCTGTATTTTTCTTTATAAAAAGAAGTAAAATCAAAGAATCCAAAGCAGTTAATGAATCAATTAATTTTATGATTTTTTTTAACCATTTGAAAGGAACAACAAATACAGTTCTGTGTACCCTGTGTTTTCACTAGTCCTCAGCTCAGCCATAGCTGGGCTGGAGATTTCAGGAACACTGGAGACAAGCAAGCCCTCTGGAAACACCTAGCTGAAAAAAAGCCTCAGCCATTCTGCAGTCACTTACCAAAACTATGGGTTGGGCTTTTTTTGCCACTGAATTCAGTGGGACCTCAGTGCACAGTTACCTTCAGAGCTGCAGCTACACTGTGATTGTACATAGAGCAGAAGGAACTTGCTGAATTCACTGCAATGGCACTGGCATAGGTAGGATTAGAGTAAGACCCACAACTTCAGGCTGGTAAGATCTGTTTAACGAAGCTACTTTCACTTGCTGCACTTTGTTTGCTTTGCTCTAATAATAAAAACATCATAATAACAAAGCACATCCCACCTCTTGTGTGGGGCTGTGTGGCAGCCTGGGCAGTGAGGATTTAATGCACTGCTGTGCCTCACACTGATGGCAGTTCAAGCAGGCAGGTTAGAACAGGACACACCTGCAAAGGGCAATGCCTTTCTGGAGCCAGTTTTCCTGGTCAGGTCCATGGTGACCACACAACACAGAGCACAAGCACAGAAGTGGGATCAAGGGGTGGGCAAGGTCAATAGAGGGGCATCAAGACCACAAGAACCCCAAAGCTCCCCCTGACTCCATCAGAATACTGCACATACCCCATAGTGTTACATCAGACACAAAGGAGCCCCTCCCTGGGAGCCAACTTGGATGTGTATGACCCAATAAACCTTTTGTTTGGGCTCCCACCCCCAAGGGATCAAGACTGTGACCAATGGACATCAAAATTCCATCAATCAATTCCAACAGTCAAGCCTCATACTGGATCCACAGGTGGTGATATCTTTCCTCTTCGCTCTCCACTCTTACCCTTTCCTTCTATATTTTCTTTGTGGTATTTTTATACTTGTACAGAAAAGAAGCCAAACAGCCACATCTCTCCTCTCTGCTGCAACTGGATTGTTCAAAGTAAACCTCCCTCACATGTACACCTGTCACTGGGTGTTGTTTCACCCTAGTTCCCCCCAAGGGATTTATTAACAGGAACACCAGTTACTATCTCAGAGGAGAGTTGTAACAAACTGTTTATTTCACATTGCACAAACAGGGTTGTCTTTGGAAAAAAATTATAAAAAAAAAAAAGGAAGAACCTTGGGTTACTTCAGGAGGCAGCAGTGAAGTGGGAAATGAGAGAAATGACACAGTAAAGTTGATGACCTAAAAACACAAAAGGGAATTGGCCTATATTCTGTTTCTAACCTGTGTCTGTACATTTCATAACAAGTCTCCAACATTCTACAAAGCATATTGCAAAACCAATACCATTATATTCAGAAGTATTAAAAATACCAAATCAGTCTTCATAAAGGTTTTTTTGATGTAACCATCACAGACTCCTATAAATGATGTTGCCTGTTAGATGGGTTTAGTATTTGGTCCCTGTTTTCTTCATACTTCTCTATCATTTTCTGCATGTCATGGTCAGCTCTAATAACCTTGAAAGAAAGAACAAGAACATTAGAAATAATTGACACCATCAAACATGGTTTACTTTTATCAAAACAGAACAAGACTACCACTGAAGCCAAACCAATATACTCCTATGGATCTGTCCAATTCACCTTCTGTTTGGAATTTGGCATTCCCTGAAAAGCTACAGGTCTGATCCCGAATCACAGTGAACAGACCTCAAATTCCACAAAGAGATAGAATTTGACTGCAATGCTACACACTATGGACAGCTGTAAACATTTCTCTGAGCTTGTCCGTCTCCAAAGGCTACTAGAAAAAGCAGATTTATTTACTTTTACCACTACATAATGCTGTTATTATTTGAAAAGTGCAATCCTCCACATGCCTAATTGATTATAATTAAAATAACACTCACAAGCACTGGGCAGGAAACTTCAAACAGTGCACGTTTAATGAGCCACTCTTCATAGAGCTCATGAATAGCTTCTAAATACTCCTAGAAAAGAGGCATTGGGATAACACACATGCCCAGGGATGAAACACACATTGCAGCTTTACTCCATTTGGTAAGCAGTTAAACACATCTAAAAGTCAGCATCAAGCATTTCCACTAACACAAGTAAAAAGCATCAGAAGGTTTCTCAGCAAAATTAATTCCCAGTGTCAGGGTTTAGCTCTTGAAGAGCCTGGCAGACAGCTTACAGCAGCACAGGGCTCTCAGCTCCTTTTAGGATCAAGCAACTCTGATTCTCTCCCTTAGGTATGATGTGGTTCAAGATTTTATAGAGAGAAATACAACAAAGAGAAGTAAGGACAAAAAGGGCAATGCTGCAAAGAATATGTATTGAAGGCACTTTCTGTGTCAATACATTTTCCTTAAACTCCCAGTTCACTTTCTC